CAGAGAACAGCCATTCAGGTAAGCCAATGGACTTTCTCCTGTGCACTGGAGCACAGGCAAGCATAGGATATACCGAAACTAAAAGTCTCATAGGTGGGGAGAAGACTGGTCCAGGACCCCGGAAGCCGAATCAACCCTCTGTAGTACTCGCTGCCCAAACGATGCTTCGGCCGGGGCGAACATGTCCAACTTGTAATGTTTGATGAAGGGCAATGGGGAAGACCACATCGCCCTGCAGATCTCTTCCACTGAAGCTTGTATAGCCCAAGCTGCAGTAGTGGCCACACTCCTGGTAGAGTGAGCTGTGATATGCCTGGGTAGTAGTCGAGACTGCTGCTCATAGGCCATAGCTATGCAGGCTTTAAGCCACTGGCCTATGATAGAAGGAATCACTTTCTTGCCCGTGAAAGGAAACAAAGAGGGACCTGCCTTCGGAGGGTAGTGGGGGCTAATCCTCTGTCCAAACCATCCTGAAAAAAATTGAAGATCTACGGGATCAAAATTGCAAGTGAATCTATCACTCTCCTATGGCACCATCTGCTGAAAGCTGCCCATGTGACATCATATATTCTGGTGGTAGAAAGACGTCTGGCCACCTGAATGGTCTGAATGACCTTCCTGGAGAAATTAGTTTATCTTAGGATGTCCCCTTCAAGTGCCATATGACTAATTGAAGTCGCTGAGGCTCTGGATGGAGTAGAGCCCCATGGTTGAGGACTATCCTGTCATTGGGAATTCTCCAGGGATGCGAGATGGCGAGGTTGACAAGATTGGCGTACCAGGGTCGTCTGGGCCAGTGGGGAGCAATGAGGAGGACTTCTGCTCCTTCTGCCAACACTTTCTGAATGACTCTCAGGATGAGAGGGAGGAGGGAAGGCGTATAAGAGCTCCCGAGGCCAAGGACAGCAAAGAGCTTTGACTCCTTCCGCCCTGTGTACTGGGAACCTGGTGAAAAACTTTGGGAGCTGAGCGTTGGTCAGATGGGCGTACAGGTCCACTTTTGGCTATCCGAACCACCGGGAGATCTCTTGGAACATGTCTGGATGTAACCGCCATTCTAAATGATCCACGGACGATCTGCTCAGCCAGTCTCCTTGAACATTCGTGATCCCGGAGATGTGCTCAGCCATGATGGAAAGTGTGTGGCTTTCTGCCCAGCAGAACCCAGCTAACCTCTCCGTCTTGATCATGAGGGACCTGGAGTGGGTGCCCCCTTGGTGGTTGATGTGGGCCTATGTGGCTATGTTGTCAGTGATGATCAAAACGTGGCACCCTGAAACCAGAGTCCGGAAGTGTTGAAGAGCCAGGCGCACAGTATGGAGCTCTAGCCAATTGATGTTGTTGGCCAGCTCCTGTGGGCTCTACCGACCCTGGGTCACCTGAGTCTGGAAGTGGGCTCCCCACCCAAAGAGACTGGTGTTGGAGGTGACTGTCACACGATCCAAAACTCTGAACAGACATCCATGGAGCAGAGCGTAAGATGTTCACCATCGCAGCGAGCGGAGCTCCTTGATTGGCACTCGTACCTGAGGCTGGAGCTGGCATTGCTGGCTCATTGGTATGGGAGCAGCAACCACTGAAGGGTGCTGAGCCCAGGGCATACATCTATACATGAAATCATTTCCCCCAGGAATTGGGAAAGGGCTGCAAAGGATAGTGACCGCTTACCATGGATCTTGGAGACAATTGGATACTGGAGCGCCAGTCCTGAGACAGGAAGACTTTGCATAGTTCAGTATTTATCACTGCTCCCAGATGAAGCAGGCTGGTGGAAGGCATCAGGTGGCTCTTGTCGAAGTTCACCGCAAATCTGTGCTATTGAATGCGCCTGGAGCGAGGATGACAACTAGATCAATATGTCTTCAAGATAACATTGCAGCCTGAAGGGGGGGTGGAGCTTGGATGCCATGACGAGACGATGTGTGATCTCAAAGCTCTGAGATCGCACTCGATACTTTTATTGCTGGGGGGTTCTAACGGACCTAAATCATCCCGAAGAGATGGTGAACAGGAAGATTACATCTTGCTGATCTCGCGGATATCGCAAAATCTCCGAGAAAAGCAGGTTTAAAGTCTTCATCTGGCAGTAAAAATTCAGTCTTTTAAGGCTGACAAAGTCAGGGCAATTTGAAGAAGTTTTTTCAGCTGGTAAGAACCTTTTATTGTTTAAAGAAAAACGGGCTGCCTAAAATTTTTTGAAACTAATTTAAATTAAAGAATAGAAGAACTTAGTGGCGATTTTGATCTTTTTAATGGTTTTGGACAGTGGTTATCTTACTTATTCACATGGATTGATTCTAAGTAAACTTTTTCAAACGGATAGATTACTCCAACATTTCTTCTGATTCTCTGTAAGCTGGCTGTAAACTAATTGACTACAATTTGACTGTTTACATCTTGACACTTTTATTGCTTGGCTGTTTTGGCTTAAGATCTGATAAGATTGTACAGCTGTTTTCTTTGTAGTCTGCTTTCACTTGCGAATGCTTCAGAGCTTTTAAGAAAAAATACAACTGCGTATAAACATGGCGTCTTTTCAAGCATCTCTCCAAGCGATACTTTCAGCTTTGAAGAAGCTGTCTGATACAGAGGACAGAATTCAGAGAAAATTGGATTATTTGGTGTTTTTGGCAACAAAATATGAGGAAAAAACTGAGGATGTTTACCAAATACAAAATAAGATGGAAAACGGAGATAAAGAATTTGAGCTTGTTGATATTCGTGACAATTGGTTTATTTCTGAGGGAGGAAAGCACCAAAAAATCTCTGGCAGCTAGACACATAAGGAATTGTGCATGAAAACAGATACCATCTCCTTGCGCCACTAACTCTGCTGCAAAATTCAAAAATTCAAAGTGCAAGAGCAGCATGTGAGAGCGGTGAACCAGCTCTTCAATCGCCAGCTACCACACACACACAAACTGCTTAATGGAGTCTAGCCCGAGTGATTGGGCAGTATCTCCAGTTGCATGGGAGTTAGTGCACCTAATTTTTCCAATAAGTCCCATGTCATGCTATAAAAAAACAGAGAATCCAAGCTGCAAAACAGAAAAAAAGATATTTGAGGAAATTGAGTTGGAGGTGGTCTTGAATACATCTCTTTTAGGCTAGACTGAGTTAAAAAACTGAACTCTGGAGAGCTGAAGAGGCGTGGTCAACACTTTTTCTAACTCAGTCTTTAGGTTAATGGGCTGAAGTCAACCCATACTTGGATTCTCCAAGCAGTGCACAGGAGAACCCAATATTTCTTCTGATTCAGCCATTCTATTGTAGATTTACTTTTGGGTTAGGATCACCATTGTGATCTGACACTGTTGTGCATGACTTATATCCCTGCCCTTAACATTTGGAAACCAATCCACGTTTGGAGAACAAACCCTCACTCATATCTGTTTCAGGTCACTGGTAGATAACGTTTACATTCTCCCACAGAGTTTTCTTGAATAACTGAGATCCTTTGTCTCATGAATAAATATGAGCCATCCAGGACCTGAAGTTGCTAACAGCCAGTTGTATAGTTCAAATGGTCTTTAGCCAACCCAAGAAACTACTTTTGTTTAATGCTTTTCTAATGGAAGACACAGTAATAATAGATCATAAGGAATGGTCTTCAGATTCTCTGAAGAGAAGCTACATTATTTCTTTCTGAAGACCAGAGATGTCTTTGAATTGAGGCAATTTTCACTTTCACTGATCATCCTACAGTTTTACTACTTTTTCCAAAATACAGTGAATATTGGTTCGATATATTCAATATAGATATGACACATTTTTAGTATCATCTAACCAGAATCCCTATTATTAGGACTTAAATGAAACTCTTATCACAACATTGTAGGTTACAATAGTGCAAGATTAAAAATAATTCTAAAACCTTCACAAATGTTTACCATTGTACATGCTATGACAACTTATTATGTTAAACAAATCCATCCTTAGTGTAAAGCAAATAATACTGTACATATTTAACTAAAAATAACAGCCACTGAATTAAATGAGATTATTACAAAGTAAATACATATACATAAAGCACATATTTTGCTTGTTGAGTATGTATTTGTCCTGTATCTCTGAAAACATGAGGATGTATTTGTCCTGTATCTCTGAAAACATGAGGATGTAACTAACTATGCCTTTGTGAGGCAATGATGTCTGCATTTATGAAAAAGCAATTAATTTTACAAATGAGACACTTTATTTTTAAAGGCAATTAAAGTTAATGAGGACTAAAAGTTAAATTCATATTCAAATCATATTTTTGTTCTAACCTTTTTGATGTATGGCTTCTGGTTAAGTGGGGTTTACATATTAGGTGCCAAACATATATAAATGGACCACGTTCAGTTGTTTCCGGGGGGGGGGGGGGGGGGGAGGATATTTAGTTTTTAAAGAAATTGGCAACTCTTGTTAACAAAACAGAAAAGCCAGGAAGTACAGAATGGTTTTGGAGTTTGTTTATTCATTTTTTTTAATCTAATTTTTCTTTGATAGAGAGAACATATCCTTTTCGATTCTTTCTCTATTTATGGATGACTGTTTTTCTTACTCTGACACAAATCTTTATCATTATGTTTAAAAGCCCCTTAATCAGATATAAACTACATTGATTGTCTTGTTTTATAGTCCAAAGTCTAATCCATTGTGATGAAAATACATCTGAAATTCAACTTAACACATTTATTATTCCATTTTATCATTCCAGAATCATTCATCACCTTCCATCAAAATAGGTTAAATGTTTCACAAAAGCCTTTCCAGTGATATAGTTGTATTATCTCTGTGCCTTGCAGTGACAGCCCATTGTCGTAAGACGTTATTAGGAGTTATGCTTATCTTTCATGGTACATTAAAAATTACTCTGATAGTACTTTCTCTGATAGAATTATTTACATAGATGTTTGCCTTTAGAGTAACATAATTACAATGATAAATACTATATTGCTTCTAATTATTATTCAATTGATGCTAGATTGCAATTTTTTTAATCAAGCTATACATACCTCAGCTTCAGAGTCTTTCAGTTTCTGAACTTTTTCTTTGACCTTCATTTCAAATACCTGCTCCATTTCCATTTCCATTTTCTTCATTTTTGCCACATGCTCTCTCCTTTCTTCTTCCATTTGTGCCAGAGGGCTCCTGGAATAAATCAAAACAGACAATTATATTTAATGTTATTTTACTTCTTTGAGGAGAAATGTAATAGACATTTATCAATAACAATCAAGCAACATTCTAATAGGAAGTAACCCAGAGTTGAGACACAGCTAACAAACAGGATTTATATGCCTCACTTTATTGTGTTCTATACTAAAAAATAACATAAAAAACTAGTTTAGGAGAGAATGAAATCATCTGATGTTCTACTTACAATGGTATAACAAAAACAGTAATTCTAAAATGTTAATAATATATGTCAGGCTAGTGGGTATTAATACCATATGTATATAATGGATATCCTTAAGAAGCAGTGTACTAAATGTCAGTATCACTGCTTGTCAGTCGGTTTAACTTGGAACAATTCTGTTGCTATTCCCCTTACATTTAGAGAGACAGATAGACAGAGACAGACAGACAGACAGACAGACAGAGGCTTTGAATTCTGCAATGCCAATTAATCCATAGCCACCCACCCTGTATCAGGTTTTTATGATAAAAGAAAATGCTATCAATTTGATTGGTGCCACAATTTGACAATTGTAGCAGGAAATGACTTGGTAATTGATTTATATAATAGCAGCTAAGAAAGAACACAGGAAAAAAGAAAGAATGACAGGGAAAAGAAGATTGAGAAATTGTTATTCAATCAAATCTAAATGGATTGACAAAAATGAGAAAGAAAGAGACTGAACTAACATAAGAAAGTAGTAGTAAGCAAGTATTAGAGAAGACCGAGGAAAAGTAATCAGACAGATATATTTGGAACATGGTACCCTTAAATAAGTTGCAATTAAAATTCTTTGGAAGGTGCCAATTTGGGGAAGAATGTGGTCTAGATTCTCAAAGGGAAATTATTCTAGGTGTGCCTTTTACTATTACTATAGCAGTATATAATACAGCAATTTAACAAAAATTTTAGAAGAAAAATAGAGAATTTTCTTGATGTATTGGATATTATCTCCAACTAAAATAGACTGCAATGTAAATAAGAATTTTCAACAACCCTCTTGAAGTGCTTTAGAGCTGTATTAATGAGTCACTGCTTCTGGAAAAGGGATAATAGAATTTGGAGTTTGAATTTGTACATGAATAGGTAAAACTGGCAACAGGGTTCTAAAACTCAACCAATAGTTTTATAGTGTTTGATATACAGAACAGAGGTGGAATGCTGCCAGTTCAGCTGAACTGGTAGTAGTGGCAGTGGGAGGCACCCCCCCACCCAGACACTTCTGCGTGTCGTGCACGCAAATCAGCATGCCCCCAAACCAGTAGTAAAAAATTAGCAACCCACCTCTCACACAGAAGTATATCATAAGTAAGAATGCACAACATGTTTCATTTTGAAGGGTTTCAAACATAAAGCTTCTTGAAACTGCTTGTCCTGAACATGAATGCTTATACCAGGTTCAAAACAAAATATTTCAAACATTTCAATTTGAAACATTTTGGAAATTTATTCATTTATTTTATTTAAGGGAATTTATATGGCCTCCCACTCACTAGCAATGACATTGAGTGGTTTACAAAAAAATAATAATTGAAATAGAGAATGTTCACATTCTAAACAATTCAAAATGAATTATTTTTCATAGAAGTTCTTTTATGAATCCATATCGTAAGTAGGTTCAAACAGTAGAAAATGCTCCAGATTCTAATTTGAACATACCAAAGTCTTCATACAAATCCAATCTGTTCTTCACGAGACTACCAGAATTATACTATGCTAACATTTCTTAAATGATTTTGTTTAAAATTGTAATTACAGCAAACCTTCAGATGTCTGCCAGTTTTCTATTTTCAAAATTATCCAACAATGTAAAGAAGAACTAAATCAATCTATACTCCTAAAATCAGAGTATGTATCTTAAGTAAATTTATTGAAAAAAAGATAATACTTTTGTTTAATTATACCTGCTTGAATATTTAAAAAAAACCAAATGATTCTTACCATATATATATGATACACACACACAAACCTCTTGAACTCAAAATCACAAAACAGAACAGCCGCTTCAATCAGAAAAAACTTTTAAGTGCTAGTTTTAGTTCAATGAGGACAAAGCAGCAAGTGTATTAAATAAATTCAAATTCAAACGAAGATGGAAGGTGAAATCACAGAAAGAATGTATTATTTACTAAATTATTATACTAGGAAACTAAGCATATAGAACTAGAACCCTGTAAACAATGAAGATTTCATGAGAACAACTACAGAATTAATGTTCTAAACCAAATCCAAGTTGAATTGAAATGTTTTGTAACATAAAAGTAAAGGTATATTTAAAAAGTATATACATCAATATGTATACTGCAGGGATCCCCCTCCCTTGCAACATAACAAATTCATTATCTGTATTTTAATAAAGTAGCCCTTTGTGCAGACTGTTATTAGATTACAGTTTCTAGAATCCAGCAGTTATTTTAATGTGCTCTGCTAGTTTACAATCCAAATATTTTCTCAGAGGGAGAAAAAGCTAAGTGGCTGAGATTTCTTTAAAAAAAAATCCCTTTCCCTAATCCCTGGCAGATATTATAAAAACTAAGCCTGTGATGGCGAATTTATGGCATAGGTGGGACTTGGACTTAATCTTCGTAAATGTCAATGTCCATAAGGCAGTGACCGTTGCATTGTGAAGGCCAGGGGCAGGACGTCACGGATTACAGCACGCCATTGATTCCGATTTAGGGCGGCTTGTTGGGCATCGGTTATCGAGAAATGGAGTGGTTGAAGATCGTGAGCCACTTGGGATATCCACGTTTTCTTTGGGGCATTTCGTGCGATTTTCCACCCATCCGGTCGCAGCGAGTTAATCGATCGGTAAGGTAATCGGCTATTGTCCATACGGCAAACGTGTCCAAACCATCTAAGTCGTTGTCTTCTTAGGTAAAGTTCGATTGTAGTTTGGTTTTTACACAGCTGCAATACTGTTTCGTTTTTCCATCGGTCCCGTAGAGTTATGTGCAGAATGTTGCGCAGGCATCTTAGCTGGAATCGTTCTAATAGGTTCAGGTCGTTTTAAGTAAAGTCCACGATTCCGAGCCGTACAGTAAGATTGTGCGGATGGAAGCATTAAATATCCTCATCTTGGTCGCAATCGTCACGTCATTTTGGCTCCACAGGCACTTCCTTAAAGAGGTGAATGCGGCTGTAGCATTGCCAATGCGGCTTTTGATGTCATTTGTAGCCACTACACGTTGGCATAGGTGGCATGTGGAGTCCTTTCTACATAGGTGGCACGTGGAGTCCTCTCTACAGGCATGCGAGCTGTCACCCAGCTAAGCTTCACTACGCATGAGTGCACACTTCCTGCCGGCCAGATGATTTTTGGTTCTGCCACTCATGTGGGAGACGCATGCACATGCTCCCCCCATGCTCCATTTTTGGTGCCAGGAGGCTTCAGAAAGGGCCTTTGGAGCCCAGGGGAGGCCATTTTCGCCCTCCTGGTGGCTCAAGGAAAGCCTCTAGAGCCTGGGGAGAGCGAAAAATCCCCCCACCTTGGGGGGGTGGGTTGTGCACACATACACAGGGGCCATATGCATATGCACATATGTGGGAGCCAGGGCGCATTGCACTGTGGGTGTGGGCACGCACATGTTTGCTATCACACGCGCATGCATGATTTTGGTACGTGAGGACAAAAAGGTTAGCAATCACTGACCTAAGCCTTTAAAAGTAATAATTCAGATAAATTAACTAAATATTTGATAGAAATAAACTATTTCATTGAACTATTCGTGTGTTTCATCTCAGAGAGAATTTTTAATCTGAGAGGAATCTCTGGCCTTAAATGCTAACAAAATGTACAAATAAGCAGGATATAATATCTTTCAGTCTTTCAACACACACACGCTGTGCATTGAGGAAAAGGGGGAAATTTTAAAAGAAGTTTGGGCAGAGAAATACCACATTTTAATGATATCAATGCTGCTTAATTACTTGTTCTCTGTATTGTGCAAAATTTGGATGCATGTGACCAGTTGAACACAAAGCAGAGTAATAATTAGCCTATGAATACAAAACCAAAAGATGAGTTTTTGTAAACCATTTCTAAGCCTTCTTTGTTTTCACAAGATAGGGCTTTTATGTGCTCAGATAACCTCTAATTTAAAGAGGTAAGAAATAAGCTTGACATGTTTTCATATAATAGTATTAATAATGTATTTTATACCCAATTATAGCCAAATCATTTTCTAGACTGTGAATAAAGATGCTCTTATTCCTCATAAATATTTAAACATGTGTTAGGGAAATTTTAGAATAAAAGAAATATTAAAGCAAAATAAAATGCACAAGCTGAAATTAAAGTTTAAATGTTACATTTAACATTAAAAGCCTTGTTTTTTTAAAATTTCTTCAGTTTTTTGAAAAATGGAAATGACCACTTACATGCCTTCAACTGTGTCAAATCTAAAAAACAAAAAAATATACAGAAGCTTAGCATGCTTAAATAAAACCACAAAAATAAAAAGCAGCAATTAAAAAAAAAGCAAATTCATTATGGATTTAAAGCTATGCCGTTTTCTATGATCTTCGCAAGCAAGATTTCCATCATAGTGGAAGATAGTAAGTTAAAGCTAGGCTTTAAATATTCTGTTAGACAAGTGTTGCACATAATTAATGCAACTGCTGTGCAAAGCTTTCAAAATCCTTTGCCTATGTTGGTATGCCCAGAATTATGCATGCTTTTTAAAAAGAGGACTAAATATTCATCTAATTAACTATTCAAAACAAACTTCAATTTACAACTCTCTTTAGGCCTATACTACTCGCAAGTATATTAAAATGCAATATTGCAACCACTTCATTTGACTGACCACATCAAAGGTATATTTCTGGAAAATACTGACAATAATTAATTTTGGATAACACTATAAGTAAGAAACAATAGATACAAATGGCAACTCTTGTCTTGGTAAAGCAGAACTCATATTTCATTACTGATTAATAAAGCCAGAAAAACAACTCAAGTTTAACATTATACATTGACTGCAGGTTCACTGCATTGAAACACGTTCGGCCCAAACTTAAAATGTTCCATATTTTGAGATAACTTACACATCTGACTTAAAAGTATGATATTCTAAGTTTCAATCGAACAAGTTTTATATCCTGTAGAAACCAATGAAAAAATTCCACTGCCTTAAAAATTACCTCCAATTTTCTATGGCACGCATAGGAACATATTTTCAAGGATCATGAAAAAATTACAATAGAACAATTACAATTACATAGTCAGAAGCATGAATGCTTCTGACTATGACCAAATCAGTTTCTGACCAAAAAATTCACAAAACTTTTGAATCTGGTCACAAACACATACTCAAGAGGCGATCAAACATGGCCGCGGCAAATTTCCCCTTCCGTGCATTTTTCTTTTGTAAGTGCCAAACAATAGTGACTTCATGTGGCCACTTGCATTAATTTTAGTTAGGTTCGGATCACAACCAAATCAGGTTGCAACCAAATTTATGGAATGAATTAGATACCATGTTTTCCCCAAAATAAGACAGGGTCTTATTTTTTGACCCTCAAAATATGGCTAGGCCTTAATATCAGGGGAAGGGCTTATTATTTTGGAAGTGAAGGAGGCAAGCATGGTCACCTCATGGCTGCTGTGTTGCACTGTTGCGACAGCGCAACACAGCCATTCGCCCCTGAGGCTGTGCCTACATCCTCCAGTCCCCGCACCAGGCTCTTTGAGAGCCTGCTCGCAAGAGAGCAGCCATCCGGCAACTCCCCCTCTCCAGCCAGGCAGAGCACCACTCACCGACTGAACAGTATTCCGAAGGCGTAAAGCCGTGTGAGGGGGGAAAACAGGCACTCACGGGGCTTGGTGCCTTCGGAATACTGCTTGATCGGTGAGTGGCACTCTGCCCAACTGGAGAGGGGAGGTTACACGAGTGCCTGTTCTCCCCCTGCTCGCGTGCCTCCCATTCCTCACTAGGGCCTGGGCTGGCTCTCCCTGCAGGACCAGAGCTGCTGCCGCCATCCCAGCACTGAGGATGGTTTCTTCTGAGGCTTCCAAACCCCAGCTGGCAGAGGCTGGTTGAGCCAGCTGCCTAGTCTTCCAGGAGCCGGGGCAGAGAGTCTTCTGGAAATGGCCGTTCTTGGAGTGTGCTTCCCACTCTACGGTTGTGGTCCAGCTGCCGGAAGACTCTGCCCCGGCTCCCGGAAGACTCGGCTGCAGGCGGCTGGCCTGACTGGCCTCTTCCAGCTGAGGTTTGGAAGCTGTAGAAGAAGCCATCAGTGCTGGGATGGTGGTGGCGGTGACCCTGCAGGGAGAGCTGGCCCAGGTCATGGTGAGACTGGGAGGCGCGCAAGCAGGGGTGGGGTGGGGGGAAAGGTGCTCACGCAACCCCACCTCCAGCCAGGCAGAGTGCCACTCACTAACCCAGCGGTATCCTGAAGGCAGCAAGCTGTGCAAGCGCAGGTCCCCTGCCACCAGCTTGGTGCCTTCAGGATACCGCTAAGTCAGTGAGTGGAACTCTGCCCAGCCAGAGAGGGCTTATTTTCAGGAGAGGGCATATATTTTTGCCCACCCCAAAAATCTGCCATAGCCTTATTTTCAGGAGATGTCATATTTTCGGGGAAACACAGTATTAGTATAAATTGTATTAATTTAATTGAGATACTCATCAGAGTAGAAGATGACACAAGGTTTTAAAGAAAGGTAGTAAAAAAATGAGTTTTAAAAAAACCTTTAAACTTTAACCTAAAAGCTGTAGCCATGCAGCTGTTAAAATCCTTTAAAAATATTTCCCTGTTAGTTGGTAAAACAAAACAGAAGCTGTCAGCCTAAGTAATTATACCAATTACATGCAAGACCACAGCCTAATTTATTTGAGTTAAAGAATTACTAAAGACTATATATACCGACATAGACAGTAAACAGCAATGAAGTTTTATGTCACAGACAAAAGCAGACATTAAATCTGTAATGTTTTGTCCGAAACTCATAAACATTTATAAACCTATCCAATTTAAATAATCTATGGTATTAAAAGGAGTGGGCAACATTTAAGCAGTATGTTTCTGTGCTAAATAGTGAAAATTAAAAAGCCATTTTTCTCAATTTTTCAGTCTATATCAAACTGAACAAATTACTGAGATTCTTGGACACATATAACATCTTCATTTGCGATCCATATTCAAAATAAATTCCTCAATTAATCTGATAAATAATAATAATAAAAATCCAAATGAAGCTAGACAGGCAGCTATATAAACAAGCAGAATTTTTAAAAAGCTTCTGTGATGGGATGTTTCATTTTCAACTCGGCAATTTAAAGTTTGCAGTGGAAACTTAATAAATAAATATCCAATTCCCTTTCTGTCCCACTTTGTCCCCAAAGCAAGTTTATTGCTTTGGATTTTGCGGAGGAGAAGTAAGAAAATAAATATAGTTTTGATACAATATAGAACAATGCAAGAATTCTTTGTTTTAATGGTTTGAGGAAGTTTCTGTAGAACATGGTCTGAAAGCACTCTACTCTACATTTTTACATTTAATTGTTCAGATCCCAAATACTTAAAAATTAGCTACTACTGTTATCGATTGTTATTCCCCTTTTTAAGCTTTGGTTGTTTGCCTGCTGGAGCCAAAGTTTTTGATCCAATATGTTTCTTTTATCTGAATTGCATTAGCTGTCAATTTGTTTACAGACTTAATTTAACGCACTAATATTGATCTTTAAACTGCATCTTTGGAATCTGGATAATTGCTTCCATTTTTCTCTCAATAACTCATGATATTATTACAACTGCAAAGCCTACATTTTTTATGATGGCATATATGTTATTCTACCAAAAAAATATGTGCCACATGTTACATTTTAAACACTGTATAGAATTTAACTCAATAAAAAGAGAATGGGCTGGATGGAATAGTATGGGCTGGATGGAATAGTATTTGATATGTAGTCTAAGAGAAATGCTACACTTATAAGACTTTCATTCCACAAATATATGCAAACTTGGGTTCACTGTTGATTATAGCAATAGCAATAGCAGTTAGACTTGTATACCGCTTCATAGGGCTTTCAGCCCTCTCTAAGCGGTTTACAGAGTCAGCATATTGCCCCCAACAACAATCCGGGTCCTCATTATTTTTAAAGTGCTATCTATGAATAATATCAAATTCACAAATCAAGTTTTATTTAAATCTGAAGTCAACCTTGAGCCCCATCAGAAATTTTATGCACATTTTTTGTGGAGTCTTATTTAGTTTAGTTTAGTTGTTTTCTCTTTTTTGTTTGCAGTTAGTATTTTAACTTTGGAAATACAATGTTTAATGTTGCAAATATTTGTCAGTATGAAAAGCAAAGGTAATAATATCAGGGTGCAAACACTTTCACTTTTGATTTTACATAAATAATTCTCAGTAGTAAATTAACAAAAAATTCCAGTAATGTTAAATTTTTAAATTCTGAGACAGGAAGTAAACTGAAAACATTACTAACCTTAAGTTATGCTAGGGCCAATTTGTTAGCATACCTTATAAATATTTTTTTTTAATTTAAAACTGTTCCAAAATAAACAGGATTATTTTTTGAAGACAAATATTCATATAATTGGCAATATAAAATATCAAACATCTTTCCTATTATATGTTATCTATGAATATGCAGAGTTGGTCTTTATACAATTGGTCCATAAACAACTATATACCACAATACATTACATTAACCTCATTTGGACTAGAATACAGGTGTTTCTTTTCAAAACAGCAAGATGAATTTTTGTCCGAGAAAAAAAATGTTCCAACCAGGTTTGCGTAAGGAATACACACATACAAATACCAAATGTAATTTATGAAACGTTTAGTAAAAATCTTGAAAACAATGTACTGAAATTTGAATCATCTTGGAAAAAATATATGTATTCATATAATTTCAAATAATTTCAAATAGCTGATAGTACATTATATGTATAGTATTTCGAAAGAAATCAAGCTACTAAGCAAAACATATACATATTTGAGATTAGGTTTAACTAAAATCAATACAACATGCACATGATTGCATTCTGTGGTAGAGTCTGTTTGGATGAGATAAATTCTATTTACTTCAAAAGATCCTGTTCCTCACTCTGCCAATCTATTATGAAAATGTATATTGAAATAGTGATGTATTTATACCATACTCCAATCATTTGCATTTTGAGATAGAATAACCTGGAAGGCTGCATGACTCTACACTGTTTTATGAGCCTAAAAATATAACAGGATTCAGACTATTTGATCTCAAATAATTCTCCAGAACCAGATGGACCAAACTATAGCACCATCTAAATTACTACTTACTTTGTTAACTGCCCTTTGTTTTTGTTGTTGTCAACTCCATTGTATGTTACAGCTGCCAATTTTCTGCTTCTGTAATTCTCATAATGGACATTATTAGTGACATCTTTCAGGTCTTGCATGTGAGTTCTAGAAAAGGAAACCAAAAACCGACCAACAACTTATTTCCTGATATATAAATGTTATATATAAGCAACAGTGTTAAATTTTGCTTTCATAAAATGTTGAAATGGTTTTCAAAAGTTTCTTTAAAAACTGAGCTAGATAGCAACTATCTACAGTGGGGCAAAAAACTATTAGTCACCAATTGTGCAAGTTCTCCCACTTAAAAAGATGAGAGAGGCCTGTAATTGACATCATAGGTAGACCTCAACTATGAGAGACAAAATGAGAAAANCAAGGAACCCGTCCAAAAAGTCCTTTGGTATAGAGGAATTTCAGGAGTAGCCTAAAACTCCATCTTCTCACTGCTAAGCCCCCCACACTGGAATAATATTGATGAAATGTTTTTGCATGGGCATGTTATCTGTTAATACTGTTCTTCCTCCTCTAATTTCAATATATTTTTTCTTTGTTGTAATTTATATGTAAACCATTTCCTTCTTAACATCCTGACGTATCTTTTAAACTTCATTCCATGTCTTAACATAGTTACATTGAAATAAGATAACATTTCATACTTGTCATGGTGTAATTTGCCAGTTGCACATAAATGTTTTAATTAATTAAAATGGAATTTGCATGTGAATGCATAGATGCTGTCACATTTTGCCGGCAACATACCTCTAATATTACTGTGAATGACTCATAATTGATTGTGATGTAGTAGTTCTTTATTAGTATGTGATAAAAAAAAAGTTATCAGTAGGATTACAGTGAGTTTAAGGCACTTGATTGCTGACTGTAGTAATGATAGATTCAGTATGCTTTTTAATTGGTAGTTAGCTTTTGTGCTTGGTTAAGGCTAGCACTTACATCTGTATATTGTCTACATAAAACTCATTTTGAGTCTCCTTTCAAGAATACTAATTATGCAGATTTCACAGTTGCAACTCTTTCTTTAATAGTTTTCATTTCTGTATCAGTTGACAGCCTATTTAAATATTAAGTTTCATTCATCATTAAACTAGGAGAGAGAAAGGCCCAACAGTAACAGATTGCGTGGTTGATCCCTTATGAATCCTGCATTGCTACGAACACCTTGTTAAGTGCTAGAAACTGTTTTCTTCAAAACAGTGTCATGGTAATTAGTTCTACTATTATAGAACCTGAACACATTATTGTATATGCCGGCTAGTGGTAATTTGCATTCAAACTTAAATCCCTTCATTTATATTCTAAATGTAGCATCTGGTGACTCCAATGCTGTGTCTGATTTCAAGAAGGCAATACTCTATTTCTCACATTGAGCAATCACTTTCACAAGAATATTAGATCTTTTAAGCATTGTTAAAATGGTACTCATTTGCATTGGGTAAATCTGGACTGGCTATTCACTGATTTAGAGATAAGAGCCAATTTGTACTTTCAATATTTAATTGAGTTTGATATACCATGGTTCCTGAAAATAAGACAGGGTCTTATTTTCTTTTGTCCCTCAAAATAAGTGGTTGGCCTTATTTTGGGGGAGGCCTTATTATTTTTGAGGTGGAGGTGGCAAGAGTGGTCACCTCATGGCTGCTGCTGTGTTGCAATATTTTTGGGGAGGGCTTATTTTCAGGGGATGGGCTTATTTTAGCGCATGAGCACAAAAGCCCGATTGGCCTTATTATCGGGGAGGTCTTATTTTCAGGGAAACAGAGTATGAATATATGAACACACCTAAAGCTATGAAACAGTTTTTGTCAATCGATGCAATAATGGACAAATCCAATTTCAATAAACTCTTCCCGTTTTTTCCCGTTTTTGAAAGCCTCCAATACCTCCTCTGTGAAACAACATTCCCCCAGAAACATTTGTTTGGCCCTTCACCCTAACTTTGTTCAAAGGGTGCTTAAAATCTGCTGTTCCCCAAACTTTGGGCTTGAGTAGATGTCGCATCTTATATTGCTCATTTTGAATTTGTGGGGATATTTTTCCTAAATGCCTGTTTTTCTTTTGAATTTGGTCCTAGCAGGAAACCACAGCTATTGTATACCCTTGACTGGAGATTGGTACACTTATTCTATCTGGCATGGTTGTCCTCTTCCATCAAACGTGCCACTTGAGGAAGGAGGCACACAAAGCCATGAGGGAGGAAGGGGATTCCAACCTAGCCAATTAGGTCAACTGAATCAACTCTGGTACTCTGTGGGAAGAAAGATGTCACAGATAGATTGCCCTCACATCCTTGTTCATTTTAATATGATTTAGTGTGGTATTCTGCCCAGTCTAAATAGGGTTAAGTACAGTGGTGGGTTGCCATTTTTTTTACTACTGGTTTGCTCGCATGCATGTGTGATGTTTCTGCACATGCGCAGAAGCGTCCAGGTGGGTGGGAAGAGGCTCCCGCCGCCACCACTACAGTTCGCCCAGTCCAGGCCGAACCGGGAGCAACCCATCTCTGGTTACGTGGCTTATAAATTTAATAAATTAAAAAAATTATGTATCCAAAACTACAATATGTCTACACTCGAATAATAAATTTAAAAGGGAATACTGCCTTTAGGTTTCTTTATTAATTCTTGAAGATACACAAGAATACATATCAGGAATGTAGAAAAAAATAATATGATAGCATTTGTTATCAAGAAAAGTTTGGAAACAAAAAAAATCTTCTCAGAATAGATATTGTATTTCTGAAGAGTGCAAGTCAGTGTTTTGTTCTTCAGCAGTTGATGCAAGAAAGACATTAAATCACGGTTTTCTTTACAACAGACGTTTCAATGGTATCACTTATTATCAGATACGGAAGTTTCATTCTGCCTGCAAAGAGACATAACAAAAAGGATTGAACATTTAACATGGTTTTCCGCAGTGACCTTTTCTAGATGAGAAGGAGCATTTTGTTCCTTCTTCTTTGTTATTGTACTTACATATCCCAAAAGCCCAACCTTAGTTAGATATTTAAAAGACTGTATGAAAATACTTTTTAACACTGATTTTCAAAATTATGATATTTTCCTTTTCCATATAATAGTCGCAGAATCTTTGTCTTAAGTAATTACAAAGCAAAATTATTATGCTGCTCTCACATTAGTAAATTGAATTGAATTTTGAATTTGAATTTAATAAAATTTATATGCCGCCCAATCCCGTAGGACTCCGGGCGGCTTACAAATACAAG